CGAAAGGATAATCTCAAACTATCTCAATTTCGGAGCTGATATGCATCAGAAACTGAACATTCCAAACGTCAAAGTGTTCCTTGTGGAGCATCGGAAGAATCGTTCCAAAACCCCAAACCATCATAAGGAGAAGCTAGTGGAGCTTAAGCAGCAGTATGCGAAGCTTAAAAATGACAAGGAGAACTTGATTTCAACTAAAGATAAGATCAATTTTGCCTCATCGAAGTGTCGCTTGAACCAGAAGATCATAACGGAGAAGCTAAAAAGTGAATGCAGGGATTATTGGAAAGATATCCGGGAACAAATTCACAAAATTGGCGTAAAAGCTGCCAACGGTTTCCTAGTGGTATGCCAATGCTATGATACTAGGACACAGACCATCCAGAATGAAGTTTTTGACTATCAGTCAAAATTTAGAGCGACGCTCTAATTCGAAGTAACGCAAATTTAAAACGCGGAGTTAGAAATGAAAGAACAAAATGAGTGAAAGAAAAATCAGAATGAGAGAATGACCCCACTTTTAGGCCAATGTTTTGTTTTTCTGATTTACTACAGTATTTTTGGGTTTCGAAGAGATAGCATGCGGTCATGGATGGTTATCCTTTGAATAGCCCGCGGAATTCAAATTTAAATTTTTTTACGAAATTAGCTGACTTTACCATGATTTTCTTCTCAGATGAAGAAATGAGAATTATATGAAAATATTTCTTTTAAATAGGAATCTAATTTCTAGTTTTCGTCCTATCTGCCATAATTGTGTTAATAACTCAGGGCTGTCCAAAAGGCCGGCCTCGGCCGGCCGAAGGCCTCGCGCAATTTTGTGCGGCTGAGGCCGTCGCAAGTTCGCTTCATTGAGAAAAAGCCTCGCGAGGCCTCGGCCGGCCTCGGCCGGCCTCGCAAATATGATTACGAGTTGCGTTTTTTTTTTAATTTTTTGTTTTTTCTCGCTCTTTTTCAGCAAATCAGGCATTTTTTGAGAGTTTTCTCGATTTTTCGATATTTAGAGCATTTAAAAAAAGGAGGAAGTCAAGAAATCTTTTATTCAACACTGAGATAACAGGGGAGAGAAAATGACAACAAATTCAAGAAAATTAACAAAAAAAGCTTGTGTTCATGCATCAAAATCTTCAAGTCTCGCCTGTGTCGAATCGATCTTTTTCTTTGAAAATCATACAACTTTTCCAGCATTTTTAAGTCCAGGCTCTGACGATTTGGTGTGTACAAGTTTTTTATGATTGAAAAAGATCTTTCTACATCTGCTTCCGAAGCTTGAATCGCATGAACTTTTCGGGCGATTTCGTGCGAATATTGGATA